ATTATACATATAAATTTCCCAGGATGCTATGTGTCACTGTCTCCCACTTTACCACTGTTGCCACCAATGGTGCTACTATATATGACCAAGATAGCATGCTGACTAGTAACCATGAAGTTTCAAATGTACCTCAGCAATGTACAGCAAGACCTCTGTTATTTTTCTGACAGAAATAAGGAAATGAATTTACTTTTTGGTTCCAGAGTGACTTTCTCTAAGGATTATAAGATGAAATTATACATTTTGCCCAGTTACTAAAATGGTACATTAAAAATTCAATTAATAGAAGAATCACACAGAATTAAAGACTGCAGTTTGGGGGAAGAATTATTTTTTATGGTGCTACTAATCCTACTGTATCACAGGTTTTTTAATATAAAAGTGTTAAGCTTATTGTGCTCTGTAAGTAAAGAATGTGTATATTGTATAAACAACCTTTTAGGTCAGAATGTTGAGTTACTTAGGTGTGACCTGGCATGAATCATTTTTTACAGAAAACATAAAGCCTAGAATAAAGACAACCAGATTTTATATGTGAGAGAATTTCTATTCTCACATCAAGTTACTACTGAGATTAAATTTGAGTTTTCTTCCCCAAATTTTTTATTTTATTTTTTTTAAATAGATTGTTTTAGTTGCAATTTTAAAAGTTCGGGTTCCATATCATATGATAATATCCAATGGAACAAATTATTTTTTGCTATGTTGTGCAAACATTTTTGACACCAGATGCCCCTTGTTTTAAAGTTTTTTACTTCTTGTTTTTGCTTATCCTAGACTGGGCAAATTTCTCCCTGATTTTGAAAAACATTTTACAAAAAAAAAAAGTTTAATGATTCTTTCTTGGTGCTTCTTGTATAAAAGTTCTCTTTTGGTCTCGCTGTATAAGAACTGGGAAGACAATACTTGGTTAATTGTCTTCTTCAATTACAAAAAAAATGGATTTTTTAACCCTTTTTATTTTAAACAGTCATAAGATACTTTATTTCCTTGTCATCTTCTCACTGAATGTTTTTTAACTCACCAGTATCAATTAATTAAAGATATATGTTCTGAGTACAGTTTGTTGTGTATTTCTTTAGCCTATGCGTTAAAACAAAACAAAACAAAAACGCTGATTGCTTTCAGATAGACTACCATCTGCACATCAACAAATGTTCCTTTCTTAGGGGGAACTGGCTTCTGTAGACTGATCATTCTATGAGTTGATAGAAAACATATAGTAAGACTTTTTCCAACGAAGAAAACTCATTGGGTGGTATTTTTACATCTCTTGACAGCCTTGGGTTGATGGTTGAGAGAGAACTAGCTTCAATTTAGAGAATTTATTAATAATGTTTAAAGGAGATTAGTGAGTTAATATTCCCAGTGATTCAGAATGAAACACATGTAGCTCTATAAAATAGTCAAGGACTTGCTAAAAATGAGAGATAATAAAAGCATTTATAAAATTTATGTTACAATGACAGTTTATATTACACCTACAATAAAAAACAACCAAAACACTTTGCAAAGTGTAATCCCTAAAATGAAATATTGCAAAATCCAAATGGTAACTGTCTAATAATTTTATTGATTTGGGTGAGTCAGTTGCAAATTTTAGCTTTATTTTTCTATGTAGACCCATGCCTAAAAGCACTAATGGGTAGTTCTAACTAAAAACACAGATTTTTCAACATGTTGTGCATTCCAAGGTTGTTC